GAAAACCTTCCCTGCAGGTGAAAGGTATTAGAATTTAATGGATTAATAATTTACACTTTATTTTACAATAATTTCAGCAGAGAATAAGTCAATATTATTAAATTAAGAGTTGTTACAATGGGAAATGTAGTTCATTTTGGGGATTATTAAACATATTTAGTCTAGTAAAGTTATTGTCTTCAAAACAAAGTTTGATCACTAAAGATAGCATTCACTAGAAAAAAAGTCCTATTTATAGTCATGATTCAGAAAACGCTTCTAGCAATGTGAGTATTATATGTGGAATTTATAATAACTCCAGCAGGCTCACCTATAGGATGAAAATCAGTCCCATATCATCCAAACTTTTATTGTCACTTGGGAATTCAGACAGTGAATTTAGATGCAACATTTTGCTGTCTCTTTGATTTTCCTGAAGTCAGAACTCACAGGAAGCATGCTTGAAAATATACCATGTAGAGCATGTGGTGGGTTGTGGGTACCTGCCAGTTAATGAGAATATAGTGTCAAAATGGAATTACTGTTAATCTCATTTTATCCATTCTAATCCCTCGCCTGTCAATCTGTCTGAATGCCATATTGCCTTCTTAATAAGATATTCTGTTTCACTTAAGGAGACAGCCTTAGGTATGGGGTCAATTAATACAATACCGTGAGACATACAAACTTAGGCAGAACAACTAAAATTTAATTTAGTCGTCTCATGTTAATTACTAAGACTCCAGAAGAGAGCAACAACATAATTAAAGGGAAGGAGAGTAGGATTTATGGGGAAACAGAAGAAGCTAGTGAAATACTGCCTCAAGAAAAGACAGCTAAAAGATACTTAATTTCATTTTCCTAATCCCTATGGGGAAACAGTAGCGGAATGATATCAGAGCCAAAGAACTGGTATGAATTCTAGCATACATATAACAGTAACCAAAACACATTTGAATTAAGGTATTTCAGTAGTTAACACTTATTTAATAAATATTTAATATTTAATTAGCATTTATTTTACATTTTATGTAGAATTACATTTTCTGTGTTTTGGCCTCAGGACTCACAGAGAAATAGTAACTTACAATAGCAATAGGTGAGAATTTTTTGCTTTGATTTGCTTCCTGTGGTGTGTTTTAAGGTGTTGAGTTGTGCCTTTGTAGCACAAATTGGAGATATGGGATACATTTTGGTGAGCCTATCTTTTCCTGAATGTAATAAGACTATCAATATTCTTAGATTAATTTGAGATCCTTATTAAGTGCAAAGATCAATTAAAATAAACTTAACAAGCTAAGCAGACACCATTAATCATTCAATATACAAAATTAAGCTGCCATTCTGATCACCAGACTCTTTTTCTAATCCATAAGATCACTTAATTTAATTCATGTTCATAGCTTTAGAACATAGCTGAGATCATGATATATTCTTTTCTTCTGTGATATATTGCCTACTGATACTAAAATGTATAACATGATTCAAAACAAATATAAAAAGATTGTATAACATATTTTGAAAAAAATTTACTCTTACTTTTCTTATGGTTTTATTTCACTGTTTTTATGCTAAATACACATTCTTTTGCATAGTTTTACTTTGATTCCTGTTACTTTTATTATTATTAAAAATCTATAAATGAATAGATTTTTAGAAATTCTTTTTATGGGACACACTATCGAAAGCATTTTTTCTATTTTAAAATTATGAAGCTAAAATTTTATGAAAGCGTTAGAAACTATGCTTCCAAGTCCCTTTTCTAATTCTTTTAGTCAAGTTCACATCAGGTTTTTCTGTGGCCAATGCTATACTATTTTACATAGTCAGTGTTCACCAACACCTGAAGGTTTACTGTTCTGCTGGAAACTTTACCCCAGCCCCTGGCATTCATATACGAAGAGTCCGGAATTCCAAAATCATCCCAGAGCATTTATAGCTATTAATCCTGGGCTTTTCCTAATTTAGTTTGATTTGGTCTGTTTTGGATTGCTGCATCAGTGGAGAGGCTTTTGGGGCGCAGAAACTCTTAATAATTACAAGAAGAAAGGGACCCATGTGTCTATAAAATGTTAGAGAAACTGGGCAGTGATGGCAACCACCTTTAACTTTGGCACTTGAGAGGCAGAGGCAAGTGGGTATCTGTAAGTTTGAGGCCAGCCTGGTCTACATAGTAAGGCCCAGAACAGCCAAGGCTACATAGAGAAATTCTGTCTTGAAAAACAAAACAAACAAACACAAAGTGAATAGTAATCCACCACTAACTCATAAATTATACGAATGCTTATACACTACACATCCTTAAGACAGGATTGCCAACAGGACATATAGGTCATTAGGGAACATGTTTCAAAGACATACTAAGATCTGTAGTCGACTGATAAGTTGATGGAAAAATCAAAGACAGAGCCACAATTGAACTTTGAGGGTAAGAAATGAAGAAATAATTCAGCAGAGAGAGAAAATATGTAGCCTACACGAGACCATGAGCTAAGTCTCCAGCTGTATTAGGGGATGGGGATCCAAAGAGATGGTCAATACAGACAATATTGTGATAAGTAAAAGGAATCACGTTATCCTGACTGTGAAGTTCAGAATTGATTAGAACAGCAAAGGAGTTTGAATAGATGCAGATGGTTGGGACAGTCAGTACCATATCTGACTGGTGTGTATTATCTGTGTAAATAAAATAGTCAAGAACCATTAAAATCAAACATTACTCCTTTGAAATTTGCATAAGAGAACCAGTGAGACTACCTACGAGTACTAAAAGGAAGTGCAAAGAAAGCTTGCTTGTCCCTTGATAATGATACTAAGATGTATTAAGACCCGGCTTTCAATATTAAGTGATCACTCTGTTTCTTCTCAGCAAGCCTGACCCTTCCCCAGTCCTGTTTGGATGACTTTCCACGATCATACAATTTACTCTCTTTTGTAGGCACCTTAAGTTAACCACGGTATAAGATATGGAAATCAGAGTGATGCTGGAGTCCATAGTGCCAAGACAGCAGACAGTGTACACCCTTCCACGTGAGACAATACTGGTAACTTGAATTTGCTGTGATGGTCATTATGCGCAAAGGAAAAATTTTTGTCAAGTGCTATAAATAATGATTCTTTTTAAGGTAGGTGAGTGGTTTCTTAAACATTACTTGCTATTATATATATTTATATATCTTCATATTCTTCCCAACTAAATATTTTGCTCCTGTTTTGTGAATTGAACAGGTAAAACAATCTTTAGAAAAATGATAGTGCTTAAGGTTACAAGACTAGAAAGCCTGAGAATATATTCACACAGTTTACAAAACAGTTTAGGTAAACGTCCCTTAAGTGAGAAAACAAGCCTTCCTTGGTGTTGAAACACCAAATAAGGTAGAACGGGGGAGTTTCAGAGGAATGAACTGATCACAAAACTGTGTGGAATTATATCAATGAGATTTGGACATTTTAGTAAAATGGAAAAGCATTAAATTTTTATTTATTTTACTTTATACATAGGAGTAAAAGGTGAATAAATTTTATTTTAAAAACAACTAGAACAGAAAAGAAAATATATTTCTTAACAGTAGCCTAAGCCTTTGTATTTTAATAAAGTAGTGTTTGTGAAAAACGGAGAGACCATTGATTGATGAGAATTATTGTAAATGATGCAGAATTGTAGCCTTAGAGCAGAGTTCTGACAAAGACTGAGCATTGCCTGATCAGTGGGATTTTTCACATGGGCACTTGTCCTTCATGTCACTGTTTTCTCACAATGGGGACAACATTTTGGAAATTTTTTTCTGACAAATTTCTTAAGCAGTGGGCCAATGGCTACACATCTAAAACATAAAGGAGCAAAATAAATACGGGTCTAAAAGAGGCATTCTGCTACTTTTCTAGAAGTTCCAGACACAGAGCTGAGGATGGGACCATTTTTAAATCCCTTTCTTCAAATTAGCCAAGAAACCAGTGAGAGTATGGTTCTAACACACACCTCTCCCCAAACACACAAAGGCGCGCGCGCGCACACACACACACATACACACACCACAAACACACGTACACAATTGAGGATATATACAAACAAGACATTGGATCACAAAGATTACAGGGTAAGTGATGGTGAAGGTAGCCATGAGAATAATGGTAACAACTGATAAAGATTCTGGCAGTTTTTTAAGTGATTCAAAATTCAGGTTGGTCCTATAACAAAGTAAACATCACTATTTTTCATGTGATGTTTATATGGAAAAATAATGTGGGAGAGTCCCCTCTGTAGACTGTGAATATTATTGGTTTATAAAAGAATTGCTTTGGCCCTTTAGCAGAGATATAGGGGAACAGAGCTAGGTGGGGGAAACTAAACATAATTCTGGAAAAAGGAGAAAAAGGCAGAGAGAAGTCATGTAGCCCCACTGGAGTCAGATGTAATTTTAGCCAGTAAGCCACAACCACGTGAAGATACACAGATTAATAGGAATGGGTTAAATTAATATGTAGGAGTTAGCCAATAAGAAGCTAGAACTAATGGGCCAAAAAGTGGTTTAAATTATATAGTTTCTGTGTGATTATTTCGGTTCTTGGCAGCCGGGAAGAACAAGCAGCCTCCTTCTTTCTACACATATGATTTATTTTTATTATTCTTACATTATTGTAACCCATAAATTAAGGAAGAGAACAATATGAATTTACAACTGAATTGCCTACTGTATCTGGTTCCTTTATCTCTCTGACCCTTATTGTCTTCTATAAAATGCACAGTCAGCTAAAACACTTAAAGGAGAGATAAGACATTGAAATCGGTTAGCACATGGGAGATATGGAAGGCCTATTTGGCCCTGTTAATTAGAGTTATTTTGCCTTAAGCATAAAGAAGTAAATATAGTGTCTTCAGAAATATTTCTGAATACATTCATTATAATGGTTTTATCTTCTGTGACATACCTGGTACTTAAAGTTTCTGAAATTAGACTGTATTCAGGAAGGAATCATTGATTATTATGATACACATTCTGCGGGTACATATAGTATCTTACCTTGAAATATTTCCATTCTCTTTCTCGTACCTTTTGGATATATTCATTTTTTACATCCTCCTAGAAGAAAAAATAATGTCCAAGTAATGAGTAATAGTTTTGACCAGTATACATTGTATGCCTGTTTAATAAATTTACAATTAATGAAAACTTTGAAACATATAAACAGCTAGAAAAACCTCAAAGCAGCTTAACAAGCATAAAATAAAAGCAAGTCAGCCAGCCTTTTGATTATTCCATCACAAAGAATAGAATTAGACCTTAAAAGGCACACATTTTCTAGAAGTTTAATTTATTTACACTTACCATAAATAATTGTGAAAATGATTTTATTACATTTTTGTAATATGAGGATACATGTACCAGTAGCCTGTTTTATATATTAGACACTTTCATACATGTGTACAATGTACTGTGGTCATATTCAATTCCCATGGTCTTCTTTTAACCTCTCCCACAATTCTTCATGCTTTTCTTCTTCACAACTACTAGTTTTCCTAATATTATCAAGATGCTTTGTGTGTGTGTGCTTGTGTGTATATGGGTATATGTGAGTATGTATTTATGTATGTATGTATGTATGTATGTATGTATGTATATGCACAATTGTATGTGTATTTGTGTATTTGTTTTTGTGTGTATATTTTTGTTAGTGTGTTGGGGGGGATGTATATGTATTGTGTATATCTGTGACCTAATGACTCTAATGAGGGGTATTTGTAGATGCATTCTAGAAGGTTATTTTGTGGAGTATGGGGGAATTATGAGCGGTACAGTATTCATATAGATCCTTAAAATTATAAATGCAATTTTCTTAGCCCATGTAATATGATCAGGGCTGGAGATTGTTTAATATACAATTTGTACAGCCAATAAACTTACAGTTAGAGAAAACTTTAGCTATATATAACCATGAACAGTAGAAAAAAGACACAAATAACAGACAAAAGAAGATTGGTGTTGGAAAGCCAACTGGTAAGGTCTTCCCTGGAGAATACTATTTCTCTGCTATTAGCATTAGGTAGTTTCCTGTAGTTCTTTGTCTAGGGTAGAAGCCCCCATGGTCTTCCCCCAATCTATGGTAGTGTGTCTTTTGGTTTCATTCTTGTCCGAGCCTTGTTTAGGCAGCAATATTGATGAGACTTCAGGGCTATAGCTTCTTTAACATTTCTAGCAGTTGCAAATTCACAGAAAACTTCCTGGTCCTCTGGCTTTTACAGTCTTTCTAACCCATCTTCTGCTACAACCCCTAGCTTAAGCTAAGATGTCTGAGACATAGATACAAGTATGGCATTATAAATAGCAACCAATAGTCCTACCCAGACATGATGCCTATGAACTACAAAGAGCAGGGTGCAATATTCCTCACGTTGCAATAGTCTTTAGTTAGACTTATCCCTGCTCAACAAGAGGAAAATCATGCCTGACATTGGAAACCTATCCAGCTACCTAGGTCTAGTGAGGTCATGGATCCTAGACGAGATCCTAGAACTGCCACTTTACTGAAACTCTATAAATCTTAACTAAATTCTAAATATATATCCTGTACCCACAGATAAGAATAGGTCTCACCTATTGTCGAATAAACATCTTACAATAGACAGAAAACCACAACTGATCAAAATCCAAAGGAAAAGTAACAGTGTGGTGCTTAGTCACAAACAATCAATCTATAAAACAAACCATGAAGTCTCTTTAAGCAAGTGTGACATTTAAAAGCATGACCACCTAATAAATTATAAGGCAAGTAGAAATTAAACCTGCTATTCACTTATGTTGAAATTTAATCAACATGATTCCAGTCCTGTTATGTAATACTAATACTGTCCTATTTCTTCTGTTAGTTTTTCTCTTGGCTTATAATGCCCTTAAAACTAAATTTTCAAGCACAATAAGGTCATATGTCTCTCTGTATGATGATTTAATGTTATCAATTTCATATAATATTTAGAATAACTATATTGTTCATGATCTACAACAGAACTTTTAGTTATCAAATGAGTGCCAGAATTTTATGCTTTATAATAACTGTACCTCTGTTATATTCTAGAAGTGTTTGATTGACCACATGAGCACAAAAACAGATTTCTTAAGCGAAAAACATGTTCTAGTTTGTTCAACTATTCATGCCACAGTCTGTGACATACCTTCTGGTCAATGGACAATTAACATTATTCAAATGATAGAGAATTTTACTTCATATATTACCATATATAAGAAGAACATAAAATGTATAAAATATATAGCAGCTTATCTATCCTCTGAAACACAGTCTTGTGTATAGTATGTTTCCAGTTGTCCAATATGACTGGCTAATTACTGTGGTTGCTAATACAAATTTAATCCATTAATAGAAGGTAAGTCACATATATGACTCATTTTAGGCAAATACAAATGGATAAAAACACTAAATATAATTTAGATATTAATTAATAAACAACTAAGTACCTTATTTTATTCATTACATGTTTTACTTTGCTGTTCAGAAAATAAAAAAGTCACGGAGATTTTTTTGAGTAAAAATGCTGTGCAGAAATATTTAAATACTTGGTTTTTATTTGAGGATGTGATGGTTTGGCAGCCTCTTCTGAAATGATGCCTGTAATGACTCTCAGCATGAAGCAAACTCTGAATTAATTACAGTGGATATGACTTTCCTGACATTATTTCTCATACATGGATTGTGTTCTGCATAACTTCACATTGTAGAATAACTAATGACCCCATTCTTTTTTGGCAGGCCAGTGAAAACAAAAAACAGATGTTCAGTATGAGCAGATGTCCAAGGTGACACAGTAAACATATGCAGCTCTGGAAATCCTAGATGCCCTGGCCCGTGTGAGGAGTCCTGGCTGCACACCCAGGGTCTCCAGTAAGCAATGTCGGGTTTGGTCAGAGTAGGATTTCATTCATGTATTAGATAATGCGGTCCTCCCACATTGTGATTCCTACACTGTGCCAACATCACTTTCTTCCAAGACAAGAGGAGTAATGATAATCTCTAGTTTCTCATTTTCCATATTATTTCTACAGAAATTAACAATTTAGGGCTAGGAATTTAACTTAGTTAAAATCATTGCCTAGAATTCAAAACATCCCTGGTTCAGTCGTTAGAACTGTAACAGCAATGGTAACAACAGCATGAACATAACCATTAAATCCAGGAAAAACAAAACAACCAAAGGACTATAATTTTAAAAATTATCTGCACTTTTTAAATAAATTCTTTTTTTTTTTTTTGAATTTTTGAGACAGGGTTTCTCTGTAGCTTTTTGGTTCCTGTCCTGGAACTAGCTCTTGTAGACCAGGCTGGCCTCGAACTCTCAGAGATCCGCCTTCCTCTGCCTCTCGAGTGCTGGGAATAAAGACTGGGAGTTTATTTATCTAGTTTTATGTATGTTTTTATTATGTATATATATATATGTATAATAATTAAAGTAAAAGAATTTGAGACAGATTGGGAGACATGGGAGAAGTTAAAGGAATGGAAGGGAGGAGAAATAATTTAAAAACAATACATACAATCTTCTCTCCAGTAAACAAGAAATTAAAAACACACAAATAAAATGCTGTTATGCTAATACTATTTTAAATCTTAAAAATAAAATAATAGAAAAAAAGAAGACAAAAACAACTAAAGGGAAGAAGTATTCATTTGTCTCATAATTCCAGATTAGCTCATCATTTCAGGAAATTTGTTTTGAAAAGAGATGTTTTTTCAGAAAAGATATTATGATTGCTATTTCCCCTTCTCCCACATGGGAGACACAAAGGAAACAAGACCTTCTAGACACAATAAGACTGACATAGATATGAAGTCACCAGAATGGCAGAATGCACACAGCCTGAACAGGTCTAAGCCAGATGGAGTTCCAGTGCTGGAAGGGGAAGTAGACATGAGCTTCCATCCCTAACGGAAAAGCTATCTCTAATTGTTAACCACCAACAAAGAAAAAAATGGTTTTCTCCAAGTCTCATTGTATATACAAACCATTTCTCAGGGATGTTAAGGTGGCAGGACATTGAAGTATCTAGTCAGACCACATCTTCGTCAAGAGCAGAGAGCAGTAAATTAATACTCGCACACCACTCCCTGCTCAGCTAGCTACCTTCTCACTCAGTCTAGGGTCCGGGCTGCGACATGATGCTGCCAACATGCAGAATGGTCTCGCTCCATGAGCTAACCCAATTAATACAATCCCTTACTCGCAAAAGGCCAACCTAATCAAAACAGTTCTTCATTGTGACGCCCTCTCCTCCCTTCTAGAGGCTAAAAACTAGCAACCACATTTATTTCTGTGTACCTGATTCGCGTTAATATTTTTCTGTATTGTCAAGATAAGGTTGGAAGTTCATTATTTTCTCAGAAATAATCAAGAGTGTTATTTTCACGTTTAATTGTCTGCAATATTACACAAACTTTACTGAGTTTTACAAATGTGAGTTTACAGATTAAGTTTAGTACACAGGCACGTTTACTGCTCTACTCTGATGTGTCCCACTGGTCTATTTTCCTATGAATATGCTAGCATGGCATTTTGGTACTCGTTTAAGCTTTATAATTCTTAAAACCAAGGGTAGCCGTAGTCTTCCTTTCCCAGGCTTTCTTTTCCTTGTATAAACCTTGCTCATTTCCATTTGAATGTTTGAGCAACCTGTTTCATCATTTCTTATAGTTGCTTCCAGTAGAGAATTGGCTCTGTTTTATAAGTAAAGAATACAAGAAATGTTAAAGATGTTAGGAAATACCTTCTTAATCAGTACTCAAAACTTTAGAAGTACCCAGGAGACCCATAAAACAGTTGTTAGAAAAAACAGTGAAAAAAATAACAGATTTTACCTCTCAAAACATGAGGTAAGTTTATTTTCCAAACACTACACCCTCTTAAAAATGGAAAGATTTTCATATCAAAATAACATGTCAATCTATTCTGTTAGGACCATATTTGGAGTAAATATAATTGTTTTTCATTTCCCCTACATTTGCAATTAAACACTGAATATATTTATGCATATATGTACACATATTAAATTAATACAGTGAATGTATTTGTAGAAAG